CCTGCCCTGGCCGCGGCTCTTCGCTGCGGGCGGCGGCCTCGTCCCCACCCCTGCTTCTGCCTCCGAGTTTCTCTTTCTTTTCCCCTTCCGACCTGCTGCCTGGGAGTGGAGTCTGCGCCCGGGCCTGCACCGGGAGGAAGACAGCTGGCGGCGCGTGAAGAGGGACCATTTGAGGGAGGATTTTTTCTTCTGAGGACGACTTGCAGGGACTTGGAGAGGAGCCTGACTGTGAGTCCCCGAGGAAAGTCGTCTCCCCCAGCGCAGTGAGTGGAGCTGCCAGACCCGGGACACTTGCTGGAGCTTAAATTGTCCTGTTTTTTCTTGCGTGTTTTAAGAGGCTTGATGTCACCGGATCTGAAATGCCCGATGCTGAAAGTGGTCCTGGGTCAAGCGATTACTCGCCGAATTTGAATGATTTTTAAAACCAGCTTTCTTGAGTGAATTCGGGGGAATTAAAAAAAAATATGCTGAGGTGAAGGGTCCTTCCTTGGGAGCTGAAATGCTTGTTGGTAGATCTTCTGGAAGCCGGCACTGGGGCTGTGAAGGAACGCTGCAGAATGGGACTGCCCTAATCTGGAAGCTGCTCTGTTTTTCTCTTCAGGTAAAATGGGTTGTGAATGATCCCAGCCTGGCATGGCAGCCAAGGCTCTTTCTTACACATTGCATTAACCTCCTCCTTTTCTGCCATTCTTATAGTTCCTACCCAGCCTTCCTCAGAGAAACACCATATGATCAGACTGGCATCTAGGATGTGTAAAGACTGCAGGACTGAGCCATGAAGACAGCGAGTAGTTGGGAATATGGTGGTATGCTCCTGTCAGCTCTGGATGGACCTTATTTCCGTAAGGGAGTTCTTAGAGACCCAAGCACTGGTCCTGCATCTGTGCACTTGAATCCTGCCTGGCTTCTGTGTCACTTGTGTGTTCTGTGGCTACCACAGGCTCAAATGCGTCTCTTTAAATTAATAAAATGATCCAGTTCATAATGCTGGAGTGGAAAATGATGACTCAAAATCCATTCTAAGACTCCTTGTGCTTCTGGGTGCAGACTGAGGGAGATATGATTAGAGAATATTGCAGTTTAGTTCCAAATATGCTAATTCTATATGAATAAATATATATGTACATTTTATAGGCATGGTCAGTTTAAGCCACATTTCTCTCTAAAATTTGTTGACTGCTATTATTAAAAATAACATCTGATCCTGAGTTCTGCAGATACCCATGTGTTTAACCTGACTGCTCACTAGAGCTACTCATGCTAGCAGAATTAAGCATTTATAGACAAAGGGCCTAATAATGATTTAATTGGAAGGTAAGAGGAGTACACTCTTGCCTGTGCTTTCATATGGTTTAGTTTATGAATGTAGCAGTCCTTCGTATAGTTGCTTGTACACAGTTAATTCTATGAATCCTTGTCTGTAGGCAAAATATGGAACTTGTTGATCTTTAGGCCCCAGGACTTCATATTGTTGCACACATTCTTAATGCAAGTCAGCTGAGATGTTGTTGTTGTAATTTTAAGCATGGAGAATCAGGGTGCATCAGCTTCCCCTCTTATTTAAGTAGTATTTTTTGCGCAGGCAGGGAGAAAAGCAGGAATAAGGAAAACCATAAATTTAGCACGTGGACACAGGGCCATGCATGTGTAATACCTACCTCAGTCTACTTTCTAACTGTATTACTGGCAAGATTCATGTTGATGAAATCTCTAAATGGTTTTAATAATTACCTCCATGATTAAATATTTAAAAAGTCAGTTATAGAATGGAATAAAGTGCTTTGCACTAAATGCAACTTTCTTTTTTAGTATCATGTCTTTCCAACATCAAGTGTGGCTATCTAATGTAAATGGCATGGTAATAAAATGCACCCCTGTGCCTCTCTTAGATTTCTACCATAAGCTTAACTAAGATTGAGTCTGGCCCTTTTTTCATACTTCATCAGCCATGTTTAACCAATTAGTATTACTACTTAATCACAAGCTAGGTAACAGTGACTCATTGTCTCTATTTTGGGGCTCCATGTAGGCACAAGAATGAGGGTTCATGTATGTTTATACAAAACAATGTGCAAAAATTCATCACACCTTACATGCACGATGTCCAAAAAGGAGAAAGATTACGGTATCATAGAAGTTCTAAAAACAAAATATTAAATAAAAATATGGTAAACTAAAGGCTAGTTTACAGGTCTGAACCTTGTTCTTCCTGTAGGCCCCCAGCCTGCAAGTGAATCACAAGTTTGGGGAAATAATTTTATGTACAGAGCTGATAAGTTCATAACCTCATTCTACTCTCTTTGAAGTCAAGTGAAGGCAGTTAAGAATGTATGTTTTTCTCTAACTGTATTATTATCATTGCTGTAAATCTAAACTATATGGAACATCAGTTAACTCTCATAATATTTCTTGTATTTTTCGAAGTGGACTGATACCTAATAGTTTCACAAAATAATCAGAAACAAGAGATTATACACACAAGAAATAATGTAGAGAAAATATTTCTTTCAAGAATAAAAGAAGAAAGCTTGAGTCATAAATGTTTTACTACTGTTTTTTACTACCAGGTGAAATAAACTTGCAAGAAGGATGTATAAAATTATATCTATAAATCTACTATTCAGAAGCAGTGAACTTTTTGACCTCTTGGATTTTAGGGTAAGTCCCCAGATATTTAGTTTATGACGCTGAATAATTAGTTACGGGCAATGTGCAGTCTGGCATTTAAAATATCCAATATCCATGTTTTCATAGACCCTGATGTACATGCTTATATTATCTGATTGCTTGTTAGATTGATTATACTAAAACCTATCCAGGCACAAATAGAAAAGATTGAGAAATGTAAATATTAACAATTTCCTCTCATTTTAAACTTTGCTTGCTGTTCGTCTTCCTATATAACTAACAGTTAAATATACATTTTAACTGTTAGCTATTTCTTATTTCTTTCTGGCCAGAATTTTTTAAGGATTGTCTATGATATAACTGTATAAATAAAAAAAAGTCTTAAAACAATGGCTATACTTTAAAAAATGGCATTTTAAAAAAATTGTATGTATTTTTGGGGGATAAGTGTATATTAATACACTGTAAAGCAAATCAAATAGCATCCTAAATTTAATGCATCCAACTTACTGGGATTTTGGCATTTAAGCTTTGGGTTTGACCGTGAATAAGAGAGGCAAAGTTGAATGCTGTCTGCAAAAAATATAACTATAATATGTTTTCTGCATTGATTTTAATCCACAGGAGCAAATAATTGCATCATATAATTGATTCACTGGGGAATATTCAGCATGAGAAGTAAATAACCTTAAGATCAAGTTAAGTCTAAAGTGAAGCAGATAAAGAAAAAAACTGAAGTAATTTGCGGCTTGTAAAATAAAATATTTGTATACCTATATGTTTTGCATGTTTGCAACCTGAGGGTGACCATTTATTTTATCTGATGTGGGAAATCTGCATAAAATCCTATCCCATTGCAAATTTCCCTATACTAGTTCTTTGACAATTCAGGAGTAGAAACTGATGTCATGGAACAATAATATTAGTTTTCTTTCCCTCTAAAGCAGTGAATCTCAACCAGGATGCCTTGAGTTCCTTTCAGAGATGCTGCAAAGAGCCACACAATATTAGCACTGTTAGGTGTGAAAACATGATTCACAAGATAAACCCAGAGGCATCAAATAGTGATCCATAATGCTAAAAACATTTTGAACTGTTAGCTTTCTATGCACCAGAAGAATTTCTTTTGTTATTTTTCCATAGTCAAAAAAGCAACTGAAAGTGAAGAACTGGCATTTTCCAAGGGGTGCCTTGAGTCTAAAAAGGTGAGTACCACTGTTATAGTCTGTTGACTTGTTCTCTGTTTTCATACCCAAAAGTCAGACTCCAAATTGATTCCAGCCTGTAGATATCCACAGACAGATTGTTTGTACACAAAAGCATTCACAAAGTCAACACCTCCAACTAGCCAAGCATCAGCCTTCTGAGTGGGCTTCAACAACAGCCCAGGTAGAGCATGTTAAAGTAATCTAATATTGGGGTCATAAAGGCATGGGCAATGGTAGTGGGGCCCATAACAGAGATAAGTGTTCATACTAATCTTATGAGATGCAGATGAAAAAAAGTTTTTTGCTACTTGATGGAAATTTGAAATCTAAAAGAAAAAGAGGATTTAAAGGTGTGGTCTTTTCTATGAATGTGCTGAATCATACATAGTTCAGCACTTGCCCCTTAGGCTAGGGACAGAAATTACACACAAACAGATAAAAGTTGATAGGAAACCAGTTCAAATCTGTAACAGAAGTTTAGTGCACATAAAGGTAGCCAAAACTGGTTTAAGATAAACCTGGAAGGATAGAGTATCAGACTTAACTGATTTAAGTCAAATCAGTGTATTGAACTTCTGTCCCAGATCCCCATCAGATTCAAGTTAACTCACAGTCTCCCATCATCCCAGGATGCTTTGCACCTCCCACCCCCACCTTACAGGGTGGGCAGACTAGGCTTGGCCCAAGCTGTCTGTTCTGGCCAAGCAGAAAGGTGTGGCTGGCTTCTGGCGTGAGCTACTGCAGGCATGTGGCTACATTTCCTCAATCAAAAGTGAATGTCTGTTCACTTGCTCATCAGTTCAGTCTATTCATCTTAGATTAACCTGTGAAAATTGAATTGATTTACCCTTGGGCTTTTTGATTATATGTCCATAGCCTTAGGAACTGAGTTCCAGATGTCACTTCCTTGTCAGAATTTTTTGTGGGCAGGCATTGTGAAGCTCCACGCTGTCTGTGTTTGATGGTAAAGGCACAGAACTCCACATCAGTTGTATATAAAAAAAAAAGGAAAGAATTTCAAGTCCTATGGACGTTATTAGCCCATGAGAGAAATCTTAAAATCCCATCAGTGGGTATTTATGACAGGTAAGGACAAAAGCATTCAAGCAATTTTCTTTATTTTGCCACAGTGTACAGGTGAATCAACACAACTTAATGATCAAGGATTTATAGAATCAGGATGGATATTTGACTTCTGATCATTGTCAAAAAAGATGGAAGTCAACCAAATCAGGGGGTTCTCCCTAGCCTGAAAAGCACACTGATAATGATCAATAAAATCTGAGTACTCAAGGCCATGGTTCTATTGCCCAGCTAAACTTTCTTAATACACTTTTCAGCAAAAGGAAGTTTCAAAATGGCAATGACTGCTTTAATACCCACAAATAGAAAAAATCATGAGTATGGAATCCTTTATTTTGTAGGGAGGTGTTAACTAAATCAAACAAAAGACTCAATGGGCATTTTTACATATCTGTGTTGTAGCACCGGGTGCTTTGGAAAGTGCCCAGTGCTGTGAGACATGTAGTTGTATAAACAGCTGAATGCATGTCAGTGCTGAGAAAATGGCAGCAGCACACTTTTGAACTAAAACACTTCAGAGGTGCTTTAGTTCAAAACCTCACCACTACCATTTTCTGCATGCTGATGCACATTTCACCGCTTATACAACTGCACACAGTGCAGTATAGTTTGCCTCAGCTTGCGTGTGGAGCAGACTTGATTAATTGCCCAGTGTGGTCTCAATATAGTCATCACCTAGGACTGAGGGGAAACAAAAATTGGTGTGTTCTTCTCTGTTGTGAAAAATTGCGTTCCATACTTACTCTTTTTTCATTGAAGCAAGCCAGCCCTTATTGATTTAATCAGGATTTTCCCTGAGAGAGCTGGTATGACTTTTAGCCATTAATGAATAGAACTTTCTTAGTTTATGCAGAGGTCTATCCTACTTAGTAGCTAAACCAAACTTGTATTCAAGATTGTTGAGTCTCTTTTCTTTTGGATATGAGCTAATGAAGAGGTGATAGTTAGAACAGAAATGGAAAATACTCATTGTGCAATTTAATGGAGTAAGCACTAATAATTTTTGTAAGATTCCTTTGCATAATAACTGCAATATTCACATTTCATTAATAAAGTATTTTGAATATACTTTCCTCTAAAAATAGTGAAAAATAAAGGAGAAAAGAAAGAAAACCATAAATAAAAGAACTTTTAAAATATATTTCCATAAAGGCGCAGAACATTTCTTACAAGGTTTTTATAAGGACTTCCTTCCAGATTCCATGAAATAATTGTACACAGATTTATGATCTGAATCTCAGTAGGACTAAAGACAGAAAAATCAATCCTGCCAGAATTTCAACCAGGCCTTGAAAGATGCACAGGTACCTGAATAGTAAGCCTAGAGGTAGTTTTAACTTGTCACAGATTTCACATCTTAGAGACTGATTCCAAACTGCACATTCTGAGACACAGAACTTGAGAAATTGGGAATGAATAACTGGTTTCTCTTTTTTTTCCATCTTTTTCGTAGGGTAGTAAGAGATCTGTAGAATTAGACAGTGAACAGGGAATGTGAAGAAGTAAATTTAGCACTTTTTGGGCTCTGTGTGCTTCTGCAGGACTTCCTTCCTGAAGTGCATACTGTACCATTTAATGAGTGTCTGCTTTGAGACTACAGCATGGCAACAGGGAAGAAATGTAAGCTAAAAGTTACTCTCAATTATATCTCCTTTGGACAGACACAAAGTAGGGAAGAAACATACTGGTAGTTCTGGTGTGTAAACATAGGACTAAAAAGGCCATCACAAGGAACAATTTGTGTGAAGTATCCACAAAATTATCCACTCTGACTGGTCTCTCTCACTTCATTCAGAAAGACCATATGGATAAAAAAATAGGGTCCTACTTAAGCTGCAGTTTCACAGATTTTTACAGAAACCTCAAAATCCAGAATTGTCTGTGAAGTCTGCAAAATCAACAACAACAAAACTTTAAAAAACTTAATGAAAATAAAATGCTGGCTCCCTAGTGGGCACCAGCAGTCCTTGCTTCCAGGTGTGGAAAGTGCCAGCTGACAAGGCAGAATGAAGGGCAGCAGACAAGATGGCAACGATCCGTCATCCCTACTCCCCCTGCCAGGCCCTTTCTACCCATCAGCACCATGGGGCAGGGTTACATGAAGGGCAGCCAGCAATCAAGAAGGTGGCTGCCTCCTAATCCCTCCTCCTCCCTGGGTGCTTCTCTGATGATCAGCACTGAGAGGTGAGGCAGGGTCTCTCAGTCAGCGCCAAGGGGCAGGGCCACCACTAAATGACTGTGATGCTAGAACTTTACACCACAATCAAACTGCAAAAACTAGTAAATCCCACCCCCCTCATTTAGGTAGACCCCTAAAAAAAACCCACCAAAAAACACCATGTAGAGGGCAGTGAAAATGGTTTGGGGGCTGGTGCACATGATTTATGAAGAGAGGCTAAGGGAACTGAGCTCATTTAGTCTGGAGAAGTGAAGGCTGAGGGGGAATTTCAAAGCAGCCTTCAGCTACTTAAAGGGGGGATCCAAAGAGGATGGAACTAGATTGTTCTCAGTGGTGGCAGATGACAGAGCAAAGAGCAACAATCTTAAATTGCTGTAAGGAATGTTTAGTCTAGATACTAGGAAAAACTTTCTCAGGAGAAGTGTAGTGAAGCAGAGGGGTTGTGTAATCTCCATCCTTGGAGGTTTTTAAGACCTGGCTAGACAAAGCCTTGGCTGGGATGATCTAGTTGGGGATGATCCTGCTTTGAGTGGGAGGTTGGACTAGATGACCTCCTGAGGTCCCTTCCAACCCTAATTTTCTGTCATTTTATGCCATGGAAAGAGCAGGGAAACAAGGGCAATACCAATACCTGCCACTGCTGTGGAAGGGAATTTGTTACAATAATATGTGCTTACATAATCCTAGGATCTTATGCCACAGAGAAAGTGGGGGGAAATCTTACCAATCTGATCTGGGACTCTGATCTAACATTTGTGTGTATACTTATCTACATACGTGTATAGACTGGGAATAAAATTATTTCTTGATCCCAAACTGGTGATCATTTTTTTTTATTGTAAATGCATGAACTGTTCAGCCATGTTTCTAAGTACCAAAAGAAAGCATCAGTGTACTCTAATGGTGGCCAGTGTTTCAGAGGAAAGGAAGAAAAGTAAAAAATGGTACCAAGTATTGGAGGGCAGGGGAGAAGGAAGAGAAAATCTTCTTGGCAGAAGCCCTTACAAGCAAAAGCCCTAAAGCATGGAACTGGACACTTCTAAATAGAGCTCAAATTTTCCTTCTGTGAATCTACATACTGCATGCTAATTATTGCTGCAAGAACACCCTTATCCTATCACACTATCCCCTCTTGAATCGATTCAGATTTCTTGCTTCCACTGCTTTGTTTGGAAGATTGTTCTAAAACTACTCTGATTATTTTAAATCTTGTAATTTCCAGTCTCAACATGCTTGTGATCAATTTGTACCTTGTGCTGATGCTGTTCTTAAGTAGCTCTTCTGACTTCCTGATATATACCTTATGAATGTGTTTATAAAAAAATCATATCACCTCTCAGCTTGTTTGCTTTGCTCAGCTAAACAAGTGCTTTTTTTTCCTCCTATGAGAAGTTCTCCATTCCCCTAACCATCCTGTTAATTCTTTTATGTTCCTGTTTCCATTTAAATTCACCTTTTTGAACATAGATGACTAAAACTGTACACAGTATCCTAAATGGAGTCTTCCTCATGCCTTGTCTCTACTAAAAATACACCACTCAATACACAATAAAATTGCCCTTTTTAGATCAGTATCATGGTTCTGGTCGAGGAGGGCCTGGTTCATGGTCACCCTATACCCAGATCCCTCTTTTTACCATTAACTGTAGTCTATGAACCCCCATTTTATAGCAAAAGATCCTGATATTAGTTCCTAAGTGTATGACTTTACACTTCATACTATTAAACCATTTCATCCAAATAAGGCACATCTCTATGTACAATTAATGTGAAGCCATAAACTCCAGAGTTTATTGGTCCTGGGTGCACCGTGCGCCTGGGAGCAATAAACTCCAGAGTTTATTGACATTTGACCATGTGCCCAGGATTACAGCACATAGAGACAGGTTGGAGCAGCCTCAGCTGGCAGGAGACACCGGGGGTCAGCCTGCCAGCCTGGTGCTGCTCCCCCCAACAACATGCTGTGGAAGGGCTGGCGGGGGCACAAGGGAGTTTTACTGTGAGGTTAGCTGGCAGGCAGCCCCTGCACTGAAGCACCCTCGTGCTCCAGCCAGCTGGGGGAGCATCTGCACGTGCGCTGTTGCAGAGTTTTTTACTCTGCAGTAGGATAGTACTTGTAAATACAAGTATTATCCTGCTGCAGAATAAATTAGTTTACTCCAGCCTAATGGGGCGCACGTGTAAACACTGAGCCATTTACTGCCCAGCTAATTAGTCTACTGTGCAGTAAACGTCTCATGTAGACATCTCCATAGGGTAATAATGTATCATTTCAATTTTAGGGAAAACTTAGAGCCACTGTATGACCTATAAATCCTAAGAAACAAGGAGGATTGGGAATATAACTGTATTGATAGAATTATTATATATGTCCTGTGATTCCTATGTTTCTTCATCCTATCAGTCTTCGTAAGCCATATTGTCTGTGTCCAAACAAGCAGGGACATGCGCTAGCAGTGGCACAAAAACTGGCACAAATTTGTGCCGATACTTTGTGCCACAATATGTGCCCCTGGCACATGCCCTTTGTTGTGGGCTGTGCCCAGCTTCTCCCAGCTCCTAGTCAGGCCCCATGAGCTGTAGGGTGGGGGCTGGCTGGGGCACAGGGTGCCTCAATGTGGGGCTAGCCAGCAGGCTTCTTTCTCCCCCCATCTCCAGGTTTGTCCCAGTGCACGCTATTTTCACGTGCTTTGCGCTGTTTCTTTGCTGCTTTTTTTTTTGCTACCGGAAAATCTTGGTAGCAAACTTTGGCCCCGTGCTGCAGATTTGCTGTGCAGGGCATGTTTTCACAAACCACACGTGGTGAATGTTGTGCCACAAAGGGGTTTGTGGCACCACAAACCACACATGCTTGCACATCTGGATGTGCCCATTTAAATGTATTATATCACAGTTAAATTTAATACTTAAGTAGTCTCCTTCAAGTTTCTCAATGAGAATTTTCTCTTTGTATTTCCATTCATATTTCTCTTCATTTCCATGGTTAAATCTCACCATTTTTATTCTTTGCTCTAGGCTCAAGTTCTAGTTTTACATTAGCTAGTTAATGCTGTCTCTCTTTTTTTCAAACTGCTTGTTTTTCTTCCATTTCCTCAGGCAATATCCATATTTTATATCTCATTTGATTGTATTTTCCCAAGCATTTTTGGAGAGATTCCTTCTCAACTGATGCTAAAGGTGTAGAGGCTGAGGCACAAAAGCCCTCAGTTGCCATCTTTTTGTTTGTCCCTACTCATTGGTAACTGAAAAAAGATCCTGCAGAATCCAAAGTTCTACTAATTTACTTTGAAGGGCCATCATCCCTTAAGGTTTTCTGTAAAACCCACTGTTTTGCTGCTCTTCTGGCCTCTAAAAAAGTCAAGTGCTCAAAGAGGTAAAAGAGAATGTTGCATATACTCTTCAAGGAGAGTGGTAGATGTATATGCCATATCGATTATATTTTGTGTTGGTAAAGGTAACAGATGCATCTCAAGCAGGTACAAGGAGGTGATCCTCCCCCTCTACGCGGCACTGGTCAGGCCGCAGCTGGAGTACTGCGTCCAGTTCTGGGCGCCGCACTTTAAGAGGGATGTAGACAGCATGGAGAGGGTCCAGAGGAGGGCCACTGGTATGATCAAGGGACAGCAGGGTAGGTCCTATGAGGAAAGGTTGCGGGACCTGAACCTGTTCAGCCTTCAAAAGAGAAGGCTGAGGGGGGATCTTGTGGCCTGTTATAAACTGGTTAGGGGGGATCAGCAGGCGCTGGGGGAGTCCCTGTTCCCCTGAGTGCCGCAAGGAGTGACCAGGAACAATGGTCACAAGCTGGCAGAGGGAAGGTTTAAGTTGGACATCAGGAGGCGCTACTTCACGGTCAGGGCGGCTAGAGTCTGGAACCAGCTTCCAAGTGAGGTGGTGCAGGCTCCCACCCTGGGGGTTTTTAAGAGGAGGTTGGATGACCACCTTACTGGGGTCATTTGACCCCAGTGCTCTTCCTGCCATGGCAGGGGGTCGGACTAGATGATCTGCTCAGGTCCCTTCCGACCCTAGAAACTATGAAACTATGAAAGGAGATAAGTCCATGGGCATTTATACACATACCTTTTAGTTCTCGGACACACCAGAGATCTGCTGCTTCAGAGCAGACTTAATTAATCAAGTCTACTCTGCACTGGTGCCGACGTGCACCGCACCGTGCTGCTTGCAGTTGTATAAGTGGCAAAATGTGCATCAGCACAGAGAAAATAGCAGTGGTGCACTTTTGAACTAAAGCACCTCCGAGGTGTTTTCATTCAAAAGTGCATCACTGCTGTTTTCTTCACACTGAGATGCATTTTGCTGCTTATACAACTGCAGGTGTTGCAGTGCCAGGTGCTTTTCAAAGGCACTTGCACATGTAAAAATGCCCAATGTAGAAACTATCGAGGTATCACTCTCCTGTCCACAACAGGGAAAATCCTTGCCAGCGTCCTCCTGAACCATCTTTTACCTTTTGCTGAGGAAGTCCTGCCAGAATCTCAGTGTGGTTTCAGACCATCTGGTGGGGCAACTGACATGATTTTTGGTGCCTGCCAGTTCCAAGAAAAGTGTCAGAAACAGCATGAGGACCTTCAAATGGCCTTCATTGACCTCAATACAGCCTTTGATTCCATCAAGTTCAAATCTTGTTGAAAGTACTGGCCAGATTTGGATGTCCTGAAAAGTACATTAAGGTCCTGTGGCTTCTTCACAACTAGATGACTGCAACTATCCCATTTAGTGGATCAGAGACATCATGTTTGTCATCTGAACTGGCGTCAAGCAAAAATGCATCATCACCCCAGCTCTGTTCTCCACTTTTTTGACAGTTATCTTTGTTCCCATTAAGGACCACCTTCCTTCTGGAATTGACAGAGTGTACCAAATGGATGGAGGTCTCTTCAATTTGGGATGTTTTCAGCCAAAGACCAAAATACTCAAAACAATCATCCTTGACCTTCAGTACATTGACAACTGTGCCATCCTTGAAACCATTCAGACTGTGCTGGGTCTTTTTGGAGAACCTTACTGAACTTTGGGCCTCTCTCAACATTGAGAAGACTAAAGTGTTCTATCAGCCTGTCCAAGCCATGAATGTGACCCCTCCTCCCCAAATTGCCATTGAGGGAAAGATTCTGGAGGTAGTTGA